ATGGATACATACACTATATTGATTATGGTAACAGTTCTGCAGATGTGTCAAAAAATTACCAAATAGTATACTTTACATGAGCAGTTTTGAAGATAATGTATACCACAGCAATGTATATACTAAAAAAGGGGAAACAATCTAAATGTCCATTTAGTTGATGGGTTGGTAAATAATATATTCACCAATGAAACAAGAGAATATTATGCAACTATTTAAAAGAAAAATGTTAATGGTGGTAGACACACTTCTACTTCATCAACGGCCAAAAATATTTTATATAGTCGTTTGATAACCAGCGAAATCAGAAATATTTCCAACTCTAGAGGAAAAGTAGTTAGATATCATCCAATTTTAGAAGAGATAAGGGATATTCAAAATCTGGTCTAACACCCTCATATTATACATAGAAAATAAGACCTACTTACTTGCATTAAAAAAGTTAAGACTTTCCCATAAGGTCACGAAGCTATTCTAGTGCATCATCCCGATTTCCCTTCTAACTCCTTTCTCATATATACAGCATGCCTCAGTTCTCTGACACGTTACCTCTTGTGCTTTTTTTCCTACCATGTTTGCCACTAATTTGTTATGTTCTTGAGCAAATGAATTAAACCCTGAAGCCCTTTTAACTAGTTGATCTACAAGGTCACCTTTAAATCCATGATTATAAGACTCCCTAAGCTGCTGAAACCAGTTATATCCACATCAATGAATTCCTAGTGTAATGCCTGAATATAAACATATAAGATAGCAAGACTGCTTATGTAGATTATCTATCTGATCTCCAAATCAACCATGAACAAAGGACTAAGTGGTATTCTTAACTTGTTGTAACTGTTCACGCTTCTATGTCCTAGGAGAAAGTACTTTTTACCAACTAAGTACAGAATTGAACAAGTATGAATTTTAAGCTGATAAATACATGTGGTTATCACCATCACATAAGAGTATCAAAGCACCTAGAGAAGTTACTGAACATTTTTTCTTTTCTTTTTTAAAGATTTTATTTGTTTATTTGACAGAGAGAGAGACAGTGAGAGGGGGAACACAAGCAGGGGGAGTGTGAGAGGTAGAAGCAGGCCTCCTACTGAGCAGGGAACCCGATGCGGGGCTTGATCCCAGGATTCTGGGATCATGACCTGAGCCGAAGGCAGACGCTTAACGACTGAGCCACCCAGGCGCCCAGAAGTTACTGAACATTTTCACTGCAAACTGTCTCTGTGTTCTGGTACTGCCTCAGAAGCCATATTCCCTAAGATTCTCTAGAACAGCAATATCATTTTCCATGGTGGCTTCATACACTTATGCCTACAGTTGCAAAAACAATTATTAAAAGAAGGGTAGCCAAATTCTCATCAGAACGCCTACCCTAAGTTGGTATACTTCACCTGTCATTTGCTTCTGCTGAGAATAAACATACAGGGATACTAAATTCACTCAAGCATATACACAGTGATCTAAACAATCACACAGTAGTTTAGTTGTGAAAGTAAATTATTGGCACTTAAGCAAAGTATATGAAAATAATAATATACATTAAAGGAATGTCCTTCCCCTATTAATTAGTTGCAAAGTAGAACATCCACTGCTAAATACAGTGAGGAGAGAATTTGGCTTAAAACAACAATAGATGCAAATGTGCCATTTTAGAAAGGCTTATAGATTTCAGAAGAGCCCCAGAAATCCTTGGCGCAATGTTAGAATTTACAGCTTTCTACCATAAGTGAAGCAGATGAGCACATACTTAAGAACACAAGATCCATTATCAAGTGACATAAGTTTTCTAAACCTTAATTTTCCTCATCTATAAAGCTGGGGACAAGGGGATACGATATGTGTGCCTATTACACTTTATAGTGTTATTATAAAGATTAAATGAAGTATGTAAGCAAAAAACTGTATAAAGTGACAGGACACATTAAACAGTAATAACTTTTCTTACTACTACCATAGTAGTACTTACTAGTACCATAACCTCAGGTATTCTACAAGGAAAGGTTAAAGAGCCAATTAAAAGTAAGTTATCTAAGACACATGAAAAAGTGCTCAACATTGCTCAGCATCAGGGAAACCCAAATCAAAACCTCAACGAGATACCACCTCACACCAGTCAGAATGGTTAAAATTAACAAGTCAGGAAACGAGAGATGTTGGCAAGGATGCAGAGAAAGGGGAACCCTCCTACACTGTTGGTGGGAATGCAAGCTGGTGCAGCCACTCTGGAAAACAGTATGGAGGTT